TACTTAATGTTAGTGTTGTGACACCCGATGTATAATGACATATACTAGAGTGAGTAGTCGTAAAGAGCTTAGAGAGGAAACATTTGTATCATTGTATAAAAGCTTATATTGTATCAAAATTCGACTAAGGACAACCAATTAGACTATAAAAAATGTTATTCATGGCACATGCATCCTAAGTAGGTCTGTAAACACCACTTTACCACCTCAATTTGGAGATCCATTTGTGGATGGTAAGTTGTTGAAGATTGATTGATTGCAACCCTTTGAAATTAAAAAATTTCCTGTGAAAAAAAAAAAAAAAAAACTAATGAAGATAAGCTCTCTATCACTTACCATGTTCTCAAGTAGTTCATGGAGTTCAAATACTGTATTTAAATATTGAATTGTCTAAAATATTCCTCCCATGTTGGCTAGTTACCTTTTCAGTTTATCATGAGTATCTAATCTCATTCCAAAGCCTTTTCCTCCAAATTACAATGAAGCAATCCTGACTTTCTATTCTTCCACTGTCCCCTCCCACTTGTAGTGTCATTCAGTTTTGTATAACCATCCTCTAAAATTGCCTATGTTCATCAAATCGTGGATTATCCAGCCAGAATTTCATTCCCTCTACTGGCTCTTCAGCCTATAACATGTTCTCTCCACGTTTGCCTACGTTACTTTTTTATTCTTGTAATATTGCTCCTTTTATGTCCATATTTTCTTTTACCACTATTATTGTTTTGATTGGACTCCATTTGATCACTAGTTAGGTAAAGACATGAGTAGTTGCTTTACCTCCCTCAATTCTTCTTTCATCCATGTCGTTCCTTTACACCTTCCATTTCTTGATCCATTTTCTTTTCTAAGTCCCGTATTTATTTGCCTATTTCTGCCATTCTTTTCGATTTTTGCATCTGGGTGTCCTCTATAATATTTATGAAAAGTAAAACTTGATTTGATACTACTGATATACTTAGACAAAAAATATATATATATATATATATATATATATAAAAGATAAAACGTGAAAGAGAAGACACAAAGGAGAAACAATTTGGTTTATCATTCTTAGATGTCGAGTTTACCATTTAGTCAAGTATTTATGCCCGATTTAGGATTATACCGCAGCTATTTCTTATGGCGGTTAAAGAACGTTTCCATTATTATTAATCACAAATTCCGTATTCCTTTTTCCACACTTTTTTTTTTTTTTGAATAAAAAAAAGAATTGAAATCGGTTAGGCTTGGCGAGCAGCTTCTTTGCGATACTCGTATAATTTTTGTTTTATACAAGATTAATTAATTAAAGGGAGAGTTGCTACGTTCAAGAAACAGATAGATGCTTTAGGGAGTGAGAGTCCTAGTGCGAAGGATATATGGAAGAAGACGTTACAAAGCACAACGTAGGTTCACCTGCAACTTCACAGCAAACTGGTATTTTTCCTACCTTCTATGATGCGCATAGAACAAGCTGCTAGGGCATACATTCTCTACTTCTTATACAATATATGAATCTCTGCTTATGAATCAATGGCAGAGTCTCTCTTCTATAAATTCTTGTTTTTGAACATCAAATTACTTCATACTTGTCGTTACCGGCTATATATTTTATTGACTCTCTGTTCAATTTACCAATTTCGCTTAAATATCGTTGATGTCGTGGTGAAATCACTTAATTGAAGAACTTGCTCTAACTAGCATTACAAAATCCTTCTTTCTATCGTTTTTCCCCTTTGTTTTGGGAGCTCGAGATTAATTCTTTTTTCATCGTCGGCTTGATTAGTTTGCTGGTGTTCTGTTTATCACTTTCGTGGTATTCATATTCGCTAGTTTCAGTCAACTGGTACTTTTGTGGTTTTACCATAAGAATTAAATGATGCATTTACATCGTCTTGTGTTTTTAGCAAATGGTCAATTAGAATAAACGTTATTGGGTCAAAAGTTCTGATGCCAACAAAAGAGAGTTTCTTCTCCTTGTTTCACAGCTAAATGTAGAATCAGAGTTTATTGCAGAAGATAATCTTAATTGATTAAGTTAACTCACAAATTTTGTTTTGGGATGCATTATCTTGTTCTTGTTATGCAATATACTTGGTGATTTCGTACATGCAAGATTTCTAACATATGGAATGCATTATGACTTGACATTCACCAATTGATTAGCACTATACTTGTAAGGTGGATGTCAGTCAAAACCATCAAATTTTGTTTTCTTAGCTTCCCATCATTTTCAACCAAGAAGCAGAGGCTCCAAGTCCAGTTTTTGTATTCTTTAACTACTTACGGGATGAATACATAATGTTTTTTGTGTGTGTTTTTTACCTTCTTTTCTTCTGGAAATATTGAACTCTTGTGATATTTTGCTATTCTTTGTAACTGAAGCTTTCAATTGAAAGTTAAATTTAGAAATGTATGTGCCAAAGAAAATAAAAAATGATGGGTTTTTCTATTTCTTTAATATATAATAACTGAAATATGATCCATGAATACTTAAAGTTGACTTTACTCTACAGTTTCTGATGATGATGAAATAGACTACTCCATGAAGCCAGAATTCTATGATCCAGATCTCGATGATAAGGATGAATCATGGATGCATAAAAGAAGAGGAGGGCGTACTTCTGATGCTGTGCTTAGTTGCCCAGCTTGTTTTACCAGTCTTTGTTTTGAGTGCCAAAGGTATGGGAATCAGTTTTCATATATTTTCATGCAATTGAATTAATGCATCATAACTTTTCTGTTTTGACTTCTGCCTTTGATCCGTATATTTGTGCAATCTTCAGCTTTTCTTTATACGTGTTGACGAAGGATAGCTATCAATGTCTTGTTTTGTATTGTTGATTGGTGGTAATTCTTTTGCATAGAAATTTGTTTGCAGCAATAAGTATTAAGTTTTTGTTCTTTTTACTTTCTGTCTCTCTCTTTCTACATTTGTGCAATCATCTTTTTTTTTTTTCCCTCTTGGTGAATGGAGTGGTATATTTTTAAGGTTTAAGTAGCAATCTTAGTTAGCAAAATGGTATCCCTTTACTGTTGATTGCTAGAATCTTGTATGAGCCTGATTAAACTTCTCAAAATTATCTTCCTCGTATTCTCTCTTAGTATAATCTTTTTCTCCTTATCAAATATAGTTCTCTAAATTACTTATCATTATGCTTCCAATTTACAAAATAATTCTTGTCAAACACTTATGTCAGTAAGAATGCTGATACAATAATTTATAAACATACATGCAAGTACAAACAAGCTGCAGTTTATACATTTAAGTGGAGTGATCTAAAAAGGAAAAAACTTAATCAACAACCTCATGTTCTAAGCACAATTAAATAAGTGAGGGACTTTCTCAACAGAAATGAAAGATTCTTAAAATTAGTTTATAACTTAATTTGTGAGTATATGGAACAGCCAACAATTAATTCCTCTTTTCTTGTCATATCTTACCACCAGATGTGAGCTCAAACGGGCATTTGGCTTTCTTAATCTGTGGACACCTCAAATTTAAACCATCTATTTTTTACTGGCAGCCCCTTGTTTTAAGGTTAGGTGAAATTGTTGTTGACAAAAGTCTGGTTTAGCTTAGTTTAATAATTAGCCATAAGGTTTTGGCTGTGTAAATGTAACGGCCCCGAAAATTAAAAGGAAACGTATATATAGAAATTTTAAGTGCGGAAGCGAAATAAAATATTATGATTAACATTCCTTACACAATAATCAAAATGTATTAAACGTATGAAAGAATAAACTAACTAAAGTAAATAATAGAAATGAATACTATAAGGAAAACTATAAAATTTTTAGGCATCTACTCGCCGTCTTCCTGCGGAACGAGCTCGGGAACCAAGTCCTCCTGATATGAAATGGATAAGTAAGGAATGAGTTACATTACCTCAGTAAAGATATCACACTATCTCACTGTCACAGAAGTAAAGGTTTGTAGAAAACAAAAACGACCAATGGAGTATAATTTATAACAAATTCATTTATGAATAATAAAACCCTTTACTGTTCACTTACTTCAGTGATATTCATGAAAACAACTTATGAAAACAATAACATTATAGTATCATGAAATCATACGCACTTTGTAACATAACACATGTCATACTTTTAATATTTCAATCATCAGGTAACAAATTTCCTCTTTTACCAGACTACCAGTATCCATGTGGATCCATAGGGGTTCCCATTACACGTGAACCATTCACCTTGATAACTTAACTCCAGGGTTCGTAGAGCTATTTACTCGATTGCAGACATTTCTGGAACACCTCTAACAGAGGGACAAATAGTCAATTTTGAAAGAACTTATTGTCAACCTCTTTCAGATATGAATCTATCTGATTCAGAAGAGAAGAACTTGCATCAGTATCTCAATTTCAATTCCCCCATACCCCGTCCGGTATGGGCGCCAAAACCATAACCCTCAATACCCCGTCCGGTATGAGGGTGAAGCGGGCTGTCCCCATACCCCGTCCGGTATGAGCGCCAAAACATTTAAAGTCTCCATACACCATCCAGTATAAGAGACAACGTTTCCGGTAGGGTTCTCTATGGATCCGGTCTGTCCACCATCTCTCAGGATATCTAGTGAGTCTGTCGACTTATCCATTTATCAACTCACATACCTTTTTTATTTTTCCTTAGTTTTCTGTTTTTCACATAATCATGAATATTTAAACCAGTAACGAGCATTCAACAAGGCAGACATATCATCGGATTCACAAATCAAGGTATAATGAAGTAAACAGTGATTCAAGCATTCAAAACCATAAAATAAATAGATCAGATACCATAATGCATTTAAAACCGTAAAATAATTAAAACAGCAACTGACCGAAAATATATCAGATTCGAGCTCCATTAGCAACCTTAATCAATTATGCATATCTATTAATTCATAAAGTACTGTTTTATTATTTATTAAGTTTTAATGCCGTGATAGCAAATAGGGTGAGAGATTCTTATTTGATTCGAAATCTAAAATCGTTTTTTCACTATGCCTACGGGCAATCCCTAAATTCTTTGAATTTCTTACCGGGAACTGAAATACACTTCTGATACCTGCACATGTCTCTAAAAAACTCCAAATCAGATCCAGGGCCTCCTCAGCCAATTTCGGAATTCCGGCATGACGGCTCCGCCGTGCTCCAGCGAAGGCACCGCCGCCCACGTCGGCGATTCGCCTTGGTTGACTGTTTTCGGCCATTTCCGGCTGAATTCAGCCAAACTAGCACCAGTTCTTACGAGAAAACACACGTAAGGCCCTTGGTAGGCCAAAAAAATACACAAAACCGAGACTTACTGGCGGCGGAGCTCTCAGGTGCGGCGGCTCCTCCGGCGCGAGTCGCGATTTGGCGTTTTGCTCCGGTTAACCTATAGAGGAAAGGACGGTGGTCACAGTGGTATAAAACTTACATCGAATGGAAATCGGGAAGGGCCTCATTGGAGGTAAAAATCGAGAAAACCCGCGGCGGCGCCGCTGGGCTTTGTCGGCGTTTTCTAGCCAATTGGCCGGTGGTTTGGCTCCGATTTGGCCACAAGTGGGTTCAACATCGAAATCCGAGCCAAGGGAAGAAATTTTACCTCATTTGGCGGCCGGAAAGTGCTCCGATGCGGCGGCGGGTGGCGGCGGTCGGTTCCTCCGGTGGCTAGGCTGTCTTCTCCGGCGAGGGCTCTGGCGGCTAAGTTTTGGGGTTGGGTGTGGATGAGATTATTTATAACCTTCTCTTTTTAATTTGAGCCGTCCATTACGATTTAATCTAACCCGTCCGATCGCGATTAAATTAAAAATAAATCTGAGCCATCCATTGCGACGCGATCTGAACCGTCTGTGCGTGATTCAATCTGGGCCGTCCGCACTCGTGTAATCTGAGGCGTCCGTGCACGCGGGAACGGATCTCACCTGTCCGATCGCACGCACGCGGATTGCCTATGTGGCTCCGTTCTGCGTGGCCTCCCGCGTCAGCGTCTCTGCCACGCAGCGTGTCCTGGTTGGCCGGAGTTGCTGACCGGTCTACTGACGTGGCGCAATTTTTCTAAATTGCGTTTTGACATTCGTTTTCCAATTTTCTTTTCAAAAACACTCCCAGAATCCGAATTTTTACCATTTTTTTTCAAAATTGTTTTTAATTAAATTCAAAAAATAATTTTACCCATTTTTATCATTATCATTATTTTTATTTCTATTAAATTAAATTAAACTAAATTAAAACTATATATTATTACTAAAAAAATCAATTATAAAAATTAAAATAAAATAAAATAAAAATAATTCCAATAATAAAAATAAAAATAGGATTAGGGTGTTACAGTAAATTAGGGCTAACAATTGTAAACAGGCCCACTCAAAAACATACACTATGTATATTAAAGCCGAAGGATGTAGCAGCAGCATCCTGATACTGCATCACCACCCTAATTATGATGGTTATTGGAGTAAAAGTAGAACATTATTAGTACTCATGTCCTCATTGTATTCTTTATTTAGCTTTAAAATTTGTTATTGCATCTATTAAAAAAATTATAAATCTTTTTCAACCCCTTCTTTTGCTGTAAGAAATTTAGTTTTCTTTTTGGGAGAATAAGATTTATATGATCGTAATGGGTCTTTTATTCTGCTGATAATAATAGTTTTCTTTTATTTTGACCTTTTTTTTTCGTTATTATGGTTAAAAATACTATGTTGCTCAGACATGGGGGTAGGCGTCCAACATTTGTATCGGTATTAGAGTGTCTGATTTCGAAGTTATCATAGTAAAAAAATGAGGACTTAATAGATAGAAACTCGACAATTAGGTAGAGGTGTTTTGGTTTGCTTGATGTGAAAGATAATTATTATTGGTGTATATGGAAGCTAAGACAATGCTATAATGACAAAATCCAGCCTTTTGTTCCAGTACAACGAGAAAAAGAAAGGGCAGCCTAGTGGAAGGTCAAATGAGATGTCATTGGTAATATTATGGTGTATTAAGGAGAATAAATGATATGTTAAGTGAGAGAGTAGGTCAATAGTATTATATGTAAAATGATGTGTTGAGTGTAGACATGTGTATTAAGGGAAATAACTCTAGACGAGGACAAGAGGGCAATTAACTCTGGAAATAATTTCCGGTAACTACTCTATCTCTTGTATAAATATAGGTTGTCTTCTTTCACAGATTTGGGAGTTCAGAAGAAATTTATGAAAAAAAAAGTGTTGAGTATTTTTTTACCCAAGAAATCTTCGGGTTCTCTCTTAATGAACGCATACTATTACTAAAAATGAGAGATTGTTGGGTTCTTTCTTAACGAGACCGTAGTATTAACAAAAATCAGAGATCAATACGTTCTTTCTTAATGAGCCCATACTGTTAAGAAAATCGCGTAACGAGATCTGTGAATCGGGACCGTAATATGAGACCAAGCAGCATCACACATTTCAAGGTAAAGGTTCATGCCAATGATCCCTAGGAGTACAGAACGTTTGTGTTGTGATCATTTGAGTTTCACAAGGAGACCTCATTATTTTGTCTCATGTTATGAACCCGAAGGCCACCCACATCCTTGGACAACAAATCTTATACCACTTGGTTAAGTGGATTTTCCTATTCCTAGCTTCAGAGCCATAAATAAAGTCTATCAAGCATGTCTAGAGATTAGTCACCATGTAGGTAAGAGGGTAGTCAATATGGAGAGTCAACAAAAGAGCTTCTTTGAGTTATTCGCCAAAAGAGCCTTCTTCAAGCTAGGAGAGAGTCAGCAAGCTACCGAAGGCAAAGCTCTATTTTTAATTGATAAAGAAAGATTTCATTCTATTAAAAATTTTCGAAAGATTTATTAGAATCTATATCCATTCTTGGCTGGAGATACTGGACTCGCCATGCAATCTCCAACACTTGTCTTTGGTGTGTGTGGGCTTTTACAGAAGGCACTAAAGACTATCCATGCTATCTACTCCTTGAGTTGGGTTCTCAGTGTGGCTTACTTCTTTTAATTCTTGATGAGATTTGGAACCTTGTGATATCAAGGCTAAATCATTAGTGGAGCAAGGTTCTAGCATGATCCCTCTTGTATTTTCTTCTGATGTTATAATGGAAATTATCTTATTGAGTGATAAAATTTCCTATTTTTCTAAGATTTGGATTTGTATTTGATCAGGGTTTAGTCCTGCCGACAATTAACATGCACGATTTTTTCCTACAAACTTTTTGAAATGAGCTACATCTCTGTTGCAATTCATTGTCAGACTGTGGTATTGGTCTAGTTTCTGCCATCAGTTTTTTATATGTTAAAATAATCATTTATTGACTTTGTGCCCTTATTTCATAAACTATATCTTCACCGTCAGCTCATAAGTTTGTGTAACGTCCTTGATTTCGAAGAAGATTTTGCCAATTGCATCCCACAACGCCTTTATTGTGGGGAGGAAAATTACAGTTTTACTTATTTTTAGAGTCATAGAGTTTCAGAGTGATGCCATAATTGTTGAATCATCTTCATCTTAGGCATTGAATGTAGACTCTCTGGGTTCCGGTCCGATACCTAAAAGGTGAATGAGCTTCCATTTTCCCTTTAGGATGCTTCCAATTAATTGAACCATCTCATATAGTCTTTTTCTGTGAACTGATAGGCAGGCTAAGTTGGTTGAAATTCGTAGGTGGAATTTTCCATGTGATAATATGCTCCAATATTTTGAGATTTTATATTCGACTCTTTTAAGAATTGAATGGTAATTAAAGAAAAAATTATCATAAGAATTTTATTCAGGCACGTGGCTGCATAAAGAGAAACACTAGGAAGAATGCTAGTTTTGCATTGAGTCACTAAGTCAACTTGGACCAGGAACTCACTAAGTCAACTCATTGAGTCAGCTTGGCGATTCCTCACCCCTTTAAACCTAACCACCTTTACTTGATTCCGCTCAGTTTAGATCTGAACAGAAGGCACGAGCGCGGCAGAGGGCAGAGGTACGAGCACAAGGGCACAACAAAACAGATCAGCGGCCAATATGCACACATCTGTGCACATAGAGTCACAACAGAGACGAGCTAGGATTGTGCGACTACGTTTGCCAGCCATTTGCATCTACATTTGGAGTGCGCAATAGATGGTGCCGCATTTGACGAGCTAGGTTTCACGACAGATGGTGTCGAAACTACAACTGGGATGGACAAATGGTTTCATGTCTGTGTCTAGTCGCGAGTTGGCCATGATTGCATCTGGTTGCAGTAGGTGACATTGCAGCCATGGCCACATTTGATCGGTATCTGTGTGGTAGAGAGGAACATAGAGGGAAAAGACTATGGCAAAGGGGTGGTCTGCGACTAGATGCACGACTGAGGGGTTCTAGCATTGGCAATGAAGGCCAGTTTGGCTGCTGGTGGTGGCCGGTAGTGGTGGTTGGTGGCTAGTCTACAGTGGCTAGGTATGAAGGCTAACCTAACCCTTCTAGGGTTTTTTCTTGTTTATTTCAGCAATTAAAACCGAATATGGTTTGTAAAAGAGTTTAGAGTTTCTTTAACATAGAACTCTGGTACTATGTTAAGAATAGTTTAATGGGTATTTTATTAAAACTTGTGGTCTTATATATAAAGGCTTTCTTGTACAGAAAAAAAAAAACAGGCAAGTAATTATAAAAGATGTAATTTACCATCCTTATAATCTTTGACCTAATTTACCATCTATTTAAAACATAGTAATCAATTAATGAGGTCAGATGTAAGAACAGTTTTTCCTTAGTATTGTTTAAGAATATGGTTTTGAAGTAAAAAGGCTCGAGTTCTAGCAAGTAAGTAACTATTTTTCTTTTTTACTATTCCATTTTGTTGTGGAATGTGAACACAAGATATTTATGAATAATTCCTTCCTGATTGAAATATGTATAGAGGGTTTGATTGAAAAATATCAGGCTTTGTTAATTCTAAACTTCTTAATGTGAACTTCAACTTAGGTTTTGATCATATTATGAAAGTGTAGAAGGACAACTCACATCATCTTTAGATTTAAGCAAAAGTATCTTGGTGATAGTACGGAAGTAAGAGAAACTTGGGGACTCAAATTATGTTTTTGTAGGTAATAATTATTGGAGGATAAAAGAGTAAAGAGATAATACATGCAATGTCAGCCGCCCTTAAGTTTTGTTTACTTCTATGAAAAATGAATAAAAAGAGAATTTATCAACAAGTAATATTGATTTTGATGAAAAGCTTGTTATACTCAACTGAAGCATGATAATGCTTAATCTTTTGCACATATGGCTATCTTGTATGGAAGCACATCTTAACACATTTTTAGGAAATTGTCAACCTGAAGTCGAGGTGCTTGTTATTTGAGTAATTTTTAACTGCGTCTAGTGCCATTCGTGTGCGTAAGATAACCATGCTTGATAAGCATCCATCTGTAGAAGGAATTAAGTATGCGAAGATTTTGTAGGCATGAGAAGTACGTGACCCAATATCGAGCAATTTTTGTTGTTAATTGCAAGATTGGAACTGGAAAAATAAGACAGAACAATGTTAAGTCAGGAAGGGGCAAAAGGAGGAGAGAATCTGGGGAGGATGGAACAGATGCTGGTGGTGGTGAGACATTCAAGCCAGTCAACTGTGCGATCTGCTCAACAGAGGTTGGCGTAATGGGCACTGATGAGGTTTATCATTTCTTCAATGTTATCCCAAGTGAGTCTTGACATTTTCGGTCATTTTCATATTGGGATGAGCTGATTATCTCAAGTTTCTACTATGATAAAAAAAACCTTCTACTGAATGTTTATGTTCCCTGAACTCCTTGAATGAATGTGATGTTTGTTGTTGTAAATCTAATGTCTCCTCTTTGGGACTTCTCTCTATGGCCTGATAGTCATCCATACTATACGTATATACAATGATCTCGTGTTGTGGGTAATCTGGCACAATGACACATCTGCTTTTAGTAGTAGAGCAAATAACAAGGCTGTCCTTGGGGGCAGATGAAGCTAAACATGTCCTGCTAGGTGGCCCAACTCAGCGGCTGCAGCATTCCCCCCCCCCCATCTAATCCCTTGTTGTTTGGGATTAATAAGTCCACTGTGCTAAAACCACTGTAGGGAGCTGGATTTCTTTCTTGTTCCTTCACAACAAATTCCAAAATTATTTCATTTGATTTGTCTTGGGAAAACTGAACCACACCGTTTCTTAAGGAAAGACAAAAGGAAATCTTCACATCATAAATTAATCTAGTTTTTGACTTGGTTGATCTCAGGGGTAGAGTCGCATTCACATAGCCTTGTCAATTTTGTTCGTTTATTAAATGTTATTTCTATTTGCTTTGTTTTATTCTTAATTTTTGTAAGTTTTTTAATATAACATTGGGTAATCATTTTGGTTAAGTTGATGGTTATTCTCTTTTCTTCTTCTCTTTTTATTTCTTTTTCTTTTCTATTTTTTCCTTTTCTTATTTTTCTCTCTTTTTCTTTCTCTCCTTTTTTTAATATTCTGTCTTTCTTATTTTCTCTCTTGTTTTTTAGTTACTTTCTTCTAATCTTTCTCTTTGTTAAAGCTTACATAATAATAACAACAATAACTTAACATCTTAATTTTTTTCTGTTTAATTTTTATTTTTATCTTCTATTATTATTATTATTATTATTATGTGAGTAAAAGAAAAAAAAAAAGAAGAGAGATACAATTGAGAGAAATAGTGAGCAAAATAAAGAAGAAAGACGATAAAAAGAAAAAAAAAAGTTAAAAAAAAAAAAAAGAGAAGAAAGAAAATGAGAGAGAAAATATTAAAAAAAGGAAAAGATAAATAAAAAAAAGATAAAATTGAAGAAAATAATGATAGTAAAATAGAGAGGAAAAAAAAAAGAAAACGCACTTAATCCAAAATAGCCTATTTTATTTGTAATTAATTAAACCTAATTCCAAATCTATTTAAATATAAAACTTATTTTAAGCTCCAAAGCAACATTTTAACCCCAATCCTGACACAAAAGCCTAATCCAGGAAAAGCCCATAGAACAACGGCGTGGTTGGGCGCCTATTCGGGACGATGTCGTTTTGTCTCGATCATGAAACGACACCGTTTTGCAAATGGTGCTTAAATACTTGGTTTAGGGCTGGAGATCAACAATCATAGATTTTACTTTGCTTCCCTTATATTCTGATTGAATAATTTTTATAATGAGTAATTACACAAGATTGTAATTATAAAATTATATTATGTTTAAAAAGATTATGTATTAATGTATGATAATTGCAACTATTTTGTTTGGATTGATAAAATGATATGCTTATATATTCAGTTAAATTATCAATTTATCTCTATCTTATTGTATGTAATATTAAATAAAAATATATATATTTAATTTATAATTAAGTTATTTAACTTATAAAATTATTTAAACTGTAATTTTTAATTAAAAAATTTATTAAAATATTAAAGAAAATAAATTTATTAGAAAAAATAAAATTTTAATTTTTTTATAGTTAATATAAAAAATTAATTTAAATTATAATTTTTTTATTTACGATTATAAATTAAAAAAAATTTAAAAAATTATCTATTGCATAATATTTATTATTATCATTTCTATGACATAAGTAAAATAAATAAATAAATTTTATTTAAAACAATTTTCAGTTTTGATAATTTTTAAATAATTAAATATTTACGTACATTTAATCAACTTACCTATTTTAATCATCTTCTTATTAATATATTAACGATCAGTATAAGTTATTTATCTTTTCATCTATTTATTTGGAGTTGGACTTTGTTTGGTGTTTAGCTTTTCACCCATTTATTTATAAATTATTTATTTTTGCTTATTAATATTCATAAAATAATTCTATTAAAATCTAAAATAAATTTAAATTTATATATAAAATTTTATATTTATTACAATTTAATTTATAATACTTTTTATTTTCACTCTATTTTTAAAAAAATAAATATAAAATAATTAAATCATATTTAAATTGTAAAGACTTGAAAGCTTAAGGAAAAGAACATATATTGAAATAACATAAGTAAAAAGTAATTTAGGGTTTATATTTCTTACAGAGTAAATTAAAATGTCCAATAGAGTTACGGAAATGTCTCTTTTAAAAAAGTTAGAATAACAGAAATAGAAATGAAACTAAATCTTATGGGATTAACCTCTACTAGCAACTTGATGGGATCCAGGAGGTATCATTTACTCGCAACTCTCCTACTGTTCAGAATCTGGATATTGATTTTCTTGATCTGAAATAGTTAAATAAGGGGATGAGCTACGTTAGCCCAGTAAGAATATCACATTAATCATTGATGCGAAAATCGAAGGTTAGTAAAAATTATAAAACAACTACTTGAGCAATTAATTTAAGTAAATTTATTTAACATAAAAGTCGTTTATTCTATACTTACTATTATGAGTTCCTAAAATCGACATACGAAGACAATAACTCAAATAACATTGTGATTCCACATCCAAGTGAGCAAGAATAGCAACTTACTTTTTTACTTGTTTACCGATACCTTTAAGGGCCCATAGGAATGTCCCCTGCGAATGAACTCAATATTTAAATTTGTCAACTAACCAGCCGTCCCCATATCCCGTCTGGTAATGTGCACCAAATATGTAATCGCCTCGATACCCAGTCCAGTATGAGGGGAACCATATCTCTCAACTCTTCCAGTATGAGACTTCTCAGCCCTGTCAGACTAAGATAATGTATACGGTAGGATTTTTACTATGTACCGGTTTCGTCCACCATTTCTTAGGGTACCTCGTAAGCTTTCCATATGTAGATTTACATCCTCAACCAATCACCAATTACATATTAATATCTCATGTTTACCAATCAACAATAAATCATGTAAAGAGATGACACATAAATCAAAAAAATGTAATTGAGACATTTATTGCAAAACAAACCAAAAAATAAGGATTATGCAGTTAGACAAAGTAAATAACAGAGTAAGTAATTAAAACTAGCAATTTAATACACACAATATAATAGTAAGTATTTTAGGCAGTACAGGAGAAAATAAGCAGTAAATTAGGGTAATTATGCACTGAGCGATTTCAGCTCCACTAGTGACCTATAATTAATTTTAAGGTTTTTTAATTTTCACAAAACACAGTATTATTGATTATTAAACTTCAATTTACCATAACAGGAAAAATGGTGAGGCATTCTTATCCTGAACCGGTGTCCAAAATACTGTACTTTTCACCGCACCTCCTCGTGGTCCTTGGGTTTCACAGATTTTTTTTACGAAAATTAAAACACCCGTCAAGTATCCAAAATGCCCAAAAAGACCAAAATAGGTATTTAAAAACCTTTTCAGCCAATTTTAGGGTTCCGGCAAGGTGCCGCCCCCGTGCTCCGACACTGGCTCCACCGCCCATGACAGTGGTTCGCCTCGGTTTTGGCCGATTTTGGCTAGGTTTATGCGTAAACCTACAAAAAAAAAAGCTAGGAGGCCTCGGGTGGCTGAAAAATGTAAAAAATTGAATCCCTACTGGTGAAAAGTCTATAGGTACGGCAGTTCCGCCGGTCCTCCTTCGCGGTCGAGGTTCCCCTTCGGCTAACCTAAACTAGAAAAGGACAGAGAATACAATGGTCAAACAATCACGCGAAACAGAAAATAGGAAGGGTGTCATCGGAAAGGGTTTTGAGTTTTTGACCACAGTGACTCAACCGGGCTTTGCCCGTAATCTTTGGCTCTCCCGTAGGCCCTTTAGCTCCGATATGATCATAGAGAGACTCGGGATCGAATTTCAAGCAAAAAGAAGAAACTTCTACCTATCTCGGCAATCAGCAGTGGCGGCGACGTCCCTCTAGTAGCTGATCTTCCCTCCGGCCGCCCTCCTTCTTTTTCTTCTCCAGTTGGGTGTCGACTAGGGTTTCGGGGCCGACTAAAGGGAAGTTTAAATACCTTTCTTCTCTCTGTTCCTGGTTGTTCATCCGTCTCGATGTGGAGCGAGGAGAGTCATCTGATTGTTGCTTGTTTAGGCTGATTGTGTGGGCGAATATGAGTCGTCCATTGCTATCAATCTCATCCATCCAATCGCGTCTGAAGAGGGAATGCATTTGGGTCGTTCGTGTACGCGAGGTGCGATCTGGGCTGTCAGATTGACCAGGCACGCGGATCACCCACGTGGCCTCGCGCGTAGAGCCGATGTCAGTGTGTTCACCATGCGACGCATTCTGACTCGTTGGGGCTGCTGACCGGGCCACCCACATGGTGAAACTTTTTTTTTTGCAATTTTACCTCCTGTTTTTAAATTTTCTTTCAAAAACACCCCTTTGTTCACAATTTTACATTTTTTTTCTAAATTGTTTTCAATTTTGTCCCTAATTTAATTTTTCTCAAAAATTTAATAAAAATTAAATTAAAATAAAGATTTAACTATTCATATATATATTATAAATCAAAAAATTATCTCAGACCAAATTTTTGGAACCAGATGTTACAACTCTCCCCCCCTTAAAAGAAATTTAGTTTCTCAAATTTGTCACCCTCTCCCTAGTCAAATAATTATGGGTACTGGGATCTGAAGTCTGATTCTAGCTCCCAAGTGGCCTCTTTCCTTACGTGATTTTTTCATAGGACCTTGATGAAGGGAATTTCTCTATTGCGAAGTACTCTACTTTTCAGATCCAAAATGTCTACTAGTACCTCATCATAGGATAGATCCTCCTATAGTGAAAGTGGCTCGTGATATAAGATATGCAAGGGGTCTAGATTGTACTTGCGTAGTATAGACACATAAAACACATTATGAACTCTAGATAGCTCTGGAGGTAGTGCTAGTCTGTAGGTGAACGTATCAATCCTTTTCAAGATCTCAAACGGTCCAATGAACTGGGGATTAAA